TGTGTAAAAACCGAATAAAAATAATATTTTAAAAAAGTGATTTAAATCACTGATTTTTTTTTTAATCAAGTTGATTTAAATCAAAAAAATCTACTGATTTAAATCAACCTGATTTAAATCAACCCAACCCTGTTGTCCTCACCTCATAGATCAAGGCAAAAGTACTCGATAAATAAAAAAGACGAAGCACATTAGACACACTTTTGTGGTAACCCTGTCGAAGAAGATCACGACAAAAGTACTCGATAAACAAAAGCTTCAGAGTCATGATGCGGTCTAAAATGCCAAGGTTTTTCTCATGTCAAAGCAACAAAGATACAGAACATCAAACCCCGTAAATGTTGTCACTATGTAACAGCAGGAGGTAAATGTACTCGATAAATAACTTTTCACAATCAGAGCTGCGAAGGAGGGCCGGTTGCTCCTATAATGGCAAGTCAAAACGAAAGCTGATGTTATGACAAAGGCCGAATAGACTCGCCGATGGATGGTTTTTTAAAAATCGAAGCTCCTGTGTGTGTGTGTTTTACGGAGTCGATGCTTTATAGCATGTGTTTTGGAGTCTCAATACAGGTATCCAAGGAGAAGACAAAGAAAACAGTGTTCGGATGCCAAAAAAACCAGAGTGCGTCTCTATGATGTTTTATATAGCTTGAGGCATCCTGTACTATAGATAGGTTGAAAAGCACATAACTTGCTGTTAAGTGGGGATATGTGCCATTCAAATTTTAATGCGGTTCAAATCGATTAAAGGTTAGTGAGTATTGTTGATTAACTTTTAAAGAAAAACTAAACAATACAAAAACATCAAACAAAACCAAAAAAAAGCAAAGTTAAAAAATTAAAACATAAAGAGAAACAAAAACAAATGAACAAATGAACAAATGAACAAATGAACAAATGAACAAAGAACTACAACAAGCATTTAGTTTGTCAACAGTTGCTAAAGAACGATCCTGAAAATCTAATGGCCTGATGACAGAAGAAAGTACGACCAGCTCTGGGAGCAAACAAATCAACAGACAACAGAAATGGAAATCAGAACAACAAAACAGACGTGGGTTGGGAATACCATGAGAAACCAGAATACGAACTGTTCCCATTGGATTTGACCGCTAGCTACATAGGATGAAAAAGGCGTACTGAGATCAAAAGCTGTTATGTTGAATAGAAAACATGTTTCTATAGGTCAGTGGATAGGTGTGTGTTAGTATATATTGTGTATGTCTGTGTGTGTGTGTGTGAGAGAGAGAGAGAGAGAGAGAGAGAGAGAGAGAGAGAGAGAGAAAGAGAAGGAAGAGAGAGAGGGGGAGGAGAGAGGGGTAGAGAGAGAGAGGGAGAGAGAGAGAGAGAGAGAGAGAAAGGAAGAGAGAGAGGGGGA